AGTTAAAAGTAAAAAATAAATAAAGTAAAAAAAAGTGTACTTTTAGTTTTGTCTATTGGTAAAAAGTATGCAAGTGTCCATCGAACTAGGACCATGGGTCAAATCAGCCCACTGCTGATTCATACGGCCCATGAGTTAAGAATGGTTTTTACATTTGTGTATGTTGGAAAAAATAGGAAGGAGAATACTACTTTATGATATGTGAAAATTGTTTGAAATTCAAATTTCAGTGTAGTTGTCACACAGAGACAATACGTCCTACTATGTCTAAACTATTTACTATGTGACCCTTTTCAGAAAGTTTGCTGACCCCCAGTTTAAAAGATTAGTGTTCAATATTAACTACTATATATAAAACAGATAAACAGCAAGTTTCTTCTGTATAGCCCAGGGAACTATGTTCAATATCTCGTAGTAACCTATACTGAAAAAGGATGTGAAAAGCGACTACATGTATGTATATGCATGACTGAAACATTATGCTGTACACCAGAATTTGATGCATTGTAAACTGACTATACTTCAATAAAGAAAAGATTAGTGTTCAATTTTTTTAAACAATAATTTCAAAATCTTAGTGAACTCTCAAGCTTTTAAAAAATCAGGTGGTTACATATTTGTGAGACCACCACCACTACAATCAAGATACAGAACATTTTCATTAGCCCCAAGAGCGTCTCCAGGCCCCCTCCATAGAATATCCCTTCCTCTGCTCCCAGAGCCAGGAAATCACTGATCTGCTTTCTGGCACTATATGTTAGTTTGCGTTTTCTAGGTTTTCTATAAACAGAATCATACAGTAAGTACTCTTCTGCATCTGGCTTTTCTCACGCCAGCATAGATTCTGAGATTCATTCATATCTCTGTGTATATCAGGAGTTTGTTCTTTTTTATTGTTATGCTTTTTAAAAAATAAGCTTTTAAGTTTTTAGTTAAAAATTATGTATAATGCAACATTTCAATTTACTTAACGAAAAGGTCAAAACAGTGTATGAACCCCCATGTTCATGTTACCCAGCTTTAACAGTTATCAACTTGGGACCAATGTTGTTTCAACCATGCCTCCACCCATAAACTCCCACCTATATTTGAAGCAAATCCTAGGCATCATACCATTTTGCCTGTAAATGTTTCAGTATGTACTTCTAAAAGATACGCACTCTTTAAAAATATATAACCATAACGCTATTATCATGCCTGTTAAGCTTGAATAATCCCTTTATCAAATACCAGCCAGTGTCCAAATTTTTAACTGTTTCATAAAATGTCATTATTCTACCTATACAGTTTGTTTGAACCAGAATCCAAATGAGATCTGTGCACTGCTAGTGGTCAATACGCCTCTCAAGTCTCTTTTAATAAGTGTCTCCTTTTGGTCCCCTCGCTTTTTTTTTCCCCTTACATTTCACTTGTTGAAGACATCAGGTAGTTTGTTCCACACAGTTCCCCACAAGTCAGGCTGATTGTATCCCCTGGTGATGTTTAACATGCTCCCTTGTCCTCTTCATTTCCTGAAAACTGGTTGTTGGATATAAGGGAACACATGTTTTAATTTAAGCACAATGTTCTTAAATGTTCAAGTTCAGGTTACAAATTTTATTTATAGGTCTAGTAAATTTGAGCAACAATTTTTGAGTCTTGAATAGTGTTTGCTTCAGTTTACAAAGGTAGTTAATGAAACACCTCCCAACGTAAAACAGGACCCCTTGGGGTTGGCAAACAATGGCTTGTGGGTTCACCGTTTGTTTTCATCAATAAATAAAGTTTTCTGAGAACACAGCCATGCCCATTCATTTACACATTTATTATCTATGGCTGCTTTCCCAACACAGTGGCAGAAATGAGTAGTTGTGGCAGAGACTTTTTGGCCCTCAAAACCTAAAATATTTATTATCTGATCCTTTAAGAAAAAGTTTGCTTACTTACTCAGCATTTATACATCTTATATAAATTTATAAATTTCATATCTTTTATTTCCTTCTTGGGCATGTCAGTTACTGACAATATATCAATTTCTTCAAGTGTT